TGGAACACAGGCCAGCTACTCTGATATAACGAGGTGATCAAAAGTTGCTGGAATTGCGGTGTTGTTTGCGTTGAAGGGGCCCTCTGAGGGAGTTTGGGATTGCAGGTGGTTTGTATGGGTAGTGCGATACCGGCCGAATTTTCCTGTCTGTTGTTTGCAAGGGCGGGGAGTCTGACATCTCAGCATCTGTTGTTGACTCCTGTTGTGAGAAAGGTGTCTGCAATTCTTTTACCTGGAAATTAATTTACTTTTTAAATTAATTTCAACGGATTGTGGTTTTTCCGCATGTCTTTTGCATCTTCGTACTGGGCATTGTACGCAAATGAAGACTGCGGCTGCTGCGGTGATCACTAACGCTCCTCCAGCTGTGATCCATCGCCAGTAGTGTGCAACACTTATTAAAGTTTGCGATATTTCTTCTGTCGTCTTTTCGACTTGATGTCCCAGTTCTTTCAACTGTTCTTCTGAAGACGTCCACCACGATCTTTGCGTCTGATTTGTTGTCGAACTCTCTTCATATGCTAGGTTCGACGACTGGAGATGATCCAAGGCTAAGTGAATGAATTGGAGAGAAATGTCTTTTGGCTGTTTCGCGTTGAAGATTGTTTGTATCGTTCTGTTTGTGAGTATTTCTAAGTTGTTATCTGCGATTTCGCTGACGTTCACAGGCAATTTGTACAGCGTGCATGATAATTCTTGTGATTCGGTCACGACGTCGTGAGTGTATGGTTCCACGAATACATTTCTTCCGTCGATAGTTACTGGTAACCGTTCGAAGCATTTCCCGTTCCTATGATGGTCCCAGCGTATGTCTGTAGCTGGTACCCTGTGACATTTGGAGACTAGTAGTGTATGTCCAACTTGGCGAGCTGAGACATCTGACCGACCTAATAGAAGTCGGACAGCGGATGTCGGGTCGTGAATACTTATCCAACGTACAATTGCGTGGAATTCATTTTTCACTGAGCACCATTTGAGTGCATTTCTTTTCCTCTCTATGTCTTGCAAGTATTGCAGCACAGGATTTATTATGTTCGGTCGACCTTTTATCTTTTCCTGCATAAATATTCTGGATTCTTCTTGTGCTACTGCGTCGTCATCTTGTAGTGGATCATGTGTTTCTGGGGAGTCGAATGAGATGACGATGTCGTTTTCAGTGTATACTGGATTAGTTATGTGACAGCCTTGCAGGAGGGCTGGTTGTTTCGGAATTATTACGAAGGCTTCTTGTAGGATGTGTACGAAGATTTCGGTTGACGAAACTTGTGCTGCATAAATTCCATCTAATTTGTATTGACATTGACTGTGGAGATCAGAGATATTCCACATTATGGTTTCGTGGGCGGTGAAACAATGATTCTGTTTGGGTGAACAGCCTTTTGTGCGTGTGAAGCTATCGATTGAACTGTGCCCATCGAATAGGACAACTTCGCCTTCTTCAACTGCGTAGTTCACGGTTGACTGGCAATCCTCCCCGAAAAACGCATATGAATAATGGACAGGATTTCGTGATGTCCATTTATGAGACGAATTTGTTGATTGCAGTTCGATTGAGCCGAGACTTTTTTGTTGGTGTAGTTTCTGACAGTCTTTGAGTGGGACACTGTCAATCGAGTGAACATCGCTTACAACTTGCAAACTCCATCGGAGGAAAGCCCAAGTGCAAACCGTTCTGGTGTATTTCGAGCAGAATGTTGCGTTTAATGGTATTAGATGTCTTCTATATACAGCTGCTTGTTGACGGCTCCAATTTTGTATTACATTAGAAGTACAATTTATTGGAGGAGGCAGACGCATGAATATTCCCGTTTGTTTGTAAGGGCAGAGCTGTGCGCTGAAAGTTGATTGCGCTGGTACTGCGAGCATTATAAGTGATACGATGGTGAGGATTGTTGTGTGATGAGTAAATGTTGAGTTAAGACGGGGCTAGTGATATACAGACCGGATGTTCTTCCGTTGGAAGTTGGTTCCGAGGTAATTGCACTGTGATTATCTGGTTCTTCATCTTCATCATCTGATTGTTGTATGTTCGGATCTGGTAAGCTAGTTACAAATTGAGTTTGTTTGGGAGTTGGCGTGGAGTTGTTCGCGATAGTGTCCGTAAGAGTCACTTCGAGCGGATATAGATGTGCGATAGAACGGACTAGGGTTCGTCCGGTTGCTAATTTGATTCGAGCTGTCCGAATCGCATGTCCCGAACCTTCTGGCGTTTCGACGATTCGAGCTAGTCGCCACATGCAACGAGGACGGTTTTGCTCGTTCAGTAGAACAACTTCTCCTATTCTAGGAGTGCGACGTTCTTGGGCGTATGGTCCTTTATGGAGCTGTTGTTCACGCTCTCGAAGAAGTTGGAGATATTCTCGTGACCAGATTATCCAGAACTTGTTCCGATACTCTTCTGATTTTCGCCATTCGTCTAGGAACTGCTGACGTGTAGATGGAGGGTGTGGGTTGAATTCGGCTTCCATTTCAGCATTTTCTTTCATACTGAGGGCTAAGTGTGCTCGTGGTCGGAGATAGTCGATTGGACGAAGAACTTCTATATTCTCATTCTCGACGTAAGTGAGTGGTCGTTCGTTCAGGACTGCCTCGACTTCTGTGACGAATGTGCGAAGTGTGGCATCGGTTAATAATCGGCGCCCTACGGCTTTTCGCATGCAGTTCTTTGTCAGTCCGATCAAGCGTTCATAAACGCCACCTCGCCATGGTGCAAACGCTGTGACAAATGACCACTTCACGTCACGCGTTGCGCACCCTTGTTTGAGACATTTGGCCGTGAGTACCAAGTTTGTACCGTTATCGGAGATAATTTGACGAGGGAGTCCCCGACGGGCTGAGAAGCGTTTGAGACTCTCTACCAGTTCAGCTGCCGATAAGTTTTCTACGACTTCCAGATGAACTGCTCTCGTAACAAGGCACGTGAATAAGCATATCCATCTTTTTGCGGTTTCCGTTTCGTTTTTGACGATAACTGGTCCACATAGATCAATGCCGGTATGATCGAAGGCTGGAGCTGGTTGTACTCTCGTGGATGGTAATGCAGGCATTGGAGGAAGTGAGAATGGCTTCGCTGTCCAACGTTTACATCCCATACAATGGGTATATATGACTTTCTTCACTGTGGATCGGCCGTGGGGAATCCAAAACCGTTGCCGAAGGTGAGCTAATGTGGCAGCCGGCCCGGCATGGAACAACAAGCGGTGCTTGTTAGCGATGATTAAATGCGTAATAGGGTCATTACGTGGCAAGAAGATAGGAAATTGTTCAGCACGTGGTAGAACAGTTTCTGCGAGGCGACCATGACATCGCCATATGCCTTTGGCGTCTTGAATAAGTTGCCAACGTTGTATCTCTTTTGTTGAGATCGAACTGTTTTGAACCTGTCGTATAAGATAATGTTCGGCTATACGACGGTCATTTGCGCTAAGGAGACCGGTAGATGATATCTCATCTAAGTAGGTATTTGTTGAGTGACGTGCATTGTGTAGAAATCGTAACATCCATGCAACAATATCGACAAGACGTGTCCAACTGCTGAATTTTTTCGCGTCTATGAACTGAGTGGGTTCGAGACATTGGATAACTGTCGATGCATTTGATGCTACTTTAGAAGGTGGATCGGGCGTATTTTCATTTCCATGAGCGGGTACAGTTGGAGTGAATGGCCATTTTGACTGGTCGTTTCGAAGCCATCGTGGGCCATTCCACCATTTATCTTCTGTGATGAAGTTTTCCCAAGACAAACCCCTTGTAGCCACGTCTGCTGGGTTGTCTTCGGTTGGTACATAGGCATACGCTATATCTTTTGTAAGTCGTACTTCGTTCAATCGGTTTCGAACGTAGCGCGACAATTTTTCACTGCTGCCTGAGTTGATCCAGGCTAGCGCACATTTACTATCGGTCCATATTGTTCGTTTGATATTCACAAGGTTAAGCTGTTTGATTATAAAGTTACTTGCGCGAACACTTATGAGAATTGCGAGAAGTTCCAGTTGTGGTATTGTTAGCCCTTTGATTGGACATAGTCGAGCTTTTGCGTAGAAAAGAGTTACTTGGTTTTCTTGTTTGAAGTAAATTGCAGTGGCATATGCGCGAGATGATGCATCAGCGAAGATGTGCAATTCTGCCATCGCCATTGGTTGTAACCTTGCGATTTTGATTGGTGATTGAGAATAGTACGCTTGTAGTCTTGACCATTGATTTTGATATTGAGGCTTCAAGGGTTCATCCCAATCAGCGCCCGTTTTAGTAATATCTTGCAGTAATATTTTGTAAGTTATTATAACGGGTGCTTGGAAGCCTAGAGGGTCGAAAAATTGTGCAATGTAACGTAATAATGATCGTTTGGTAATAGGAGCAGTTGGTGGTGGTTTCATAGTTAACGTCAAGTGATCTGTGTTGGCATGCCATTGCATTCCGAGCACTTTGACTGACTGGCTATTGTAGCGGTCTTTCTCAGCGATCTGAGAGTTTACCAGCGCATTATTAGATAAAAATTCATGCAAATTCATGTGAGCGTCGTCGAATAGTTTTTTCGCCTGGTGATATCCTTCTATGGCTTCCTTTTCAGAGTTGGCCGCGAGGAGGACATTGTCCACATAGATATTTTTTAATATGTCACCAGCCCATGGAGAGTTGGAATGTTTTAAGTGGTGGCGTATTGTAGCTGCTAATAGAAATGGAGAGCTTTTAGCACCGAAGAATACGCGTTTGAATCGATAAGATATGATGGGATTGTTGGGACTAATCGGAAGTTCAGGGTGGTCAACCCACAAGAATCTTGTGACGTCTCTGTCTGTTTGATCGAGCTCAATTTGATGAAACGCTTTTTCGACGTCTGCAATCAACACGATGGGAGCTTGGCGGAAACGAAGTAATTGTCCGACCATGTCTGGTAAAAATACGGGACCGCGTAAAAGGTTGTCGTTCAGGGCGTGCCCTTTTGGAGCGCTTGAACTTGCGTCGTATACGATACGTAATTTGCGTTTTTGTTCAT